AAGTGAAGGCGAAGGCGTAGCAGAAGCAAGTTGTTCTTGTAGAAGAAACAAGTCGAAAACGATTGTTGACAATGTATTGAAACAAACTGAAACAAATGGGCCTTTACAGGACCTGGAGGGGATCAATGGACCCAAGTGCCATGGCTGGGATCCATAGATTCAACGCTTAAAAGTTTGGTGTGTGTGGGGGGGGGGAGAACCGGGAGTGTCCCGAGAAAACCCACTTTCACTAGTCGGGACCGAAAGAAAGCCCGGGCGAGAGAGTATTTTTCTTTCTTTCTTTTTGTGGCGATAGCGGTACACGAACTGCACGTGTGAACAACACACTAATCATTTGGGCAGCGTTCGGCTCATAATGTCAAATGAAAAGATTTGTAGATTTTTATGGAATGTTTTTTCATATCTTTAGTATACAGAGTTTTAATGAGAACTGTTCTAAAATGCTATTTTTTGTAATTTTCAAATTACAAGATGATCATACATTCACCAATCCACGTTTATCTCTCTCTCTATCTAAAATTATTTAAAATTTCTTGTCGTAACTTATGAATTAAATAAGATTTTAGCGTAATGTAAGAATGTTCTGTTTTTTATTTTATTTTGCGCAAAGCTACACAAGTGCTACCTGTGCTAGCGGTCCCTAATTCAGCTAGAGGGAAAGTAGCTAGTCATCACCACCCACCACCAACTCTTGGAGTACTCTTTTACCAACGAATAGTGGGATTGACCGTTACGTGGTGGGACGGAGATTCGAAACCGCGAATCTCAGATCGCGATTCATGCGCACTAACCACCTGGCTATGCCGGACCGAGAATGTTCTGCTATATAATTAGCAAAAAGTAAAATAATTATTAGTGTATATTTAGATTTTAGGATAACTGTTGACATTGTTTCATATTATACATTTTTACTAAACTTGAACATTGTTGTAATCCTTGTATTTCTAATTATTATTACTTATGCGAGAAACAGCAACGGACTCGAATATGAAGAACGTACTTCATCTTTGCTTATGAATCCATATTACGGTTCCTTAGAAACCTGTGTTAAAACCCATATGATTTATTATTTACGTAAATGCCCTCCATATATATATATATGATGAACTAAATATGAAATGGAACTTCTATGATAAGGTCAAAATCTTGTCTGGTCATAACTAGATAAAAGATAATACTAATGGTCTTGTTTTATCCGTACAAAGAAACAGTAAACTGCAACTTTATGCAAAGTAATAAACCTATAAAGTTTATTAATTTAACTAAAAGACAGCCATCCTTGCATTTTATTAGGCAATCATTTAACATGGAATAAATATTAAAAATTTATAAATTTACAATTTTTGACTTTTATTACAAGTAAAATAAAATATGTACATTGTAAAAAAACAGCTTTGTATTATTTAATGATGTTGTTTGTTATTAAGCACAAAGCTACACAAAAGGTTATCTGTGCTCTGCCCACCAATATATATATATATGTGTGTGTGTGTGTGTGTGTTTGTATAAAACTCTTGCTATTTTAATATATTGACATTTATTTCTATTAGAAATTTCCCCCGTAGTGGCACAGCTGTATGTCTGCGGACTTACAACGCTAAAATCCGGGTTTCGATACCCAATCATGGCTTGTTTTTATTCAGAACCACTCACAAGATAAATTTTTATCTTATTTTAATTATTTATTTATGTTGAATACACACAAAGACACGAACGAAAAATGAGTTTTACATTCCTCAATATCAAATACTATGGAAGTCAACTTCTCTTTTGTTTGCTGAATATATATATATATCAATCAAATGACACCAAATACATAAAAAATGGTATTTTTTAAATAAATAAATTAACTTTCGCCTTAGATATTCTACCATTATAAACACATTTATTGTTTACTGTATTTGATATGATATTGCAGGATTTAATCCCGTCACCATGCATGCTCGCCTTTTCAGAAATGTGGGTGTTATAAAGTTATAGTTAATCCCACTATTTATTGGTAAAGAGTAGAGTTGGCGGTTTTGGTGTTAATTGGGTATCTTATCTCTGGCCTAACTCTTCAATTTAGGTCCGTGCTATGTGTTTTGGTACAAAATTTTAGTTAATTTTGCCTCTTCCGAATGAAATTATGGGATATAAAATTATGTGTATACATATGTGAATCTGTATGTATACGGGTATCTTTTACCTTCTCTAGGTTTTGAGGTTATTTAAAGTTTATAGAAGGTAAATATGTTAACTTGCAACAGGTAGATTTGTAATTTTGTTTTGGTTAAAGAAACAATAGACATTCTGGGAGGACTTGTACTTCATACAAGTTTATGGTTAAATATCTTTTTTTACAACATTTATATTACATTTGCTGATATCATGCTTTATTGTTTTCACAATACCTAGTTGTTTGTTTTAAAATAAAATATGTAGAATGAAACAGCACTAATTATTGAAAGAAAATCCCGGCGAATCTAAACTGCTAAAATGACTTCAGCTTAACGTACATATCATGAATACACTAAAGCTAGTAAGATATTCTCTTCACATCCGTGGTGTCCATATTTAATTTATTAATTTATTAATCACATTTTCGTCTGATAACAATATTACAAAAAGAAAATATTTCATTCATACTGACATCGAGTGATAAATTGTTCCTGATTTAGCGTGAGGTTTAATAAATTCCACTTCTCACAGGAACGTACAATTTTAATACTTAAAACACATTCTTCTGTTAATATAGATGATGACGAATTTTGATGCTTAAAGGTAATTTGTGTACTACCGTATCTATTAAAGCATACTCAAAAATGTAATCACGCGTATTTAAATATTTGAGTGTATATGTATGTGCGTAACTTTACAAGTTATTATACAATTGAATAAGAAATTACCATTACAGCCACCTTGAGATCACACACATGTATATATATATATATATGTGTGTGTGTGTGTGTGTGTGTGTGCTTTTGCTAGATTTATAAGTTATTATTACCTAGTTCCATATAAACAACTAACCACTAAAACATTAATACATACTGTTACAGTTCAAAGACATTCGAGTTACAGAGTCCCCTCATTATCCTCACATCCTACTAACTACATAACAATAATTTAACTTTAAAGCAGGTATTAAGACAGTGGCATAGGAAGAAGTTGCAAAGTTTGGCAGATTTTACAATGAGAAATTGAAAGTGTAAGGAGCTGCTAAAAGTAGCTTCCGTGATGCCAAAGGCAGCTCAATCTAGGGTGACTGAGCGCATGCTCCCAGAAAAGTAATATAATAATATAATTTACAGTTGGTATATAAGTCAAATATGTAAAAGCGGGGGCACTGTAGCACTTCTGGTTCTCACGTCTCTGTGAGATGTCCACCCCACAACGTTTTACTTGGACGTTCAATTAAATTTAAGTACAGGGAAGAACGTTAAAATATATCTATTAGGCCGTCTAAGACTGTATGCCCCTCTTAAAATTTATATTTGTTTGCACTGGTGTAAATCAGGATAAATTAGTTGTTTGTAACGTTTTAAGTAATAAGCTTTTTTTTTCTAAATAATACGATCACTCATGACTGATATATAACTTACACTGAAGAATATTTATAATAACGATTACTTTCCAAAGCTATGCCTGCTTCCTTCTTATTTTACGGTAGCTAAGTCATAAACAGCTGACTAATGTTACTCTGTTTATCAGTAGTCTATGTGATATATATCACAATAAAACTGATAATAATTTTCTACAAATAAAGCCAGTAAAGAAAGATATGTAGAAAATTATAATCAGTCTTATTGTGCTACATATCACGTAAACTACTGGTAAATCGATCATGCCTCGACAACATAAAGGGTTATATACCGTAATAACTGATAAATGACACTGTTTTCTCACTTAATTTTTTCAATTCATTAGCATTCAAATCACTTGGTGCAAATATTTGTAAAACGAAAAAGTATTTTTACTTCTTAAAAGTAAATGTGTAAATTATAAAATCAAAACGAAAGAAATCTTGCCTGCGTCATGTCAATTCCTGCGATGTCACCCTGATACAGATCTATCAAATTAAAACAAGTGTCACAAATAGTTAGTTAATTATAAAACAAAAACACATCTTATTGATGACAAGTAAGCTTTTGGCTAATGCATTCACTCTGAACTAATCTTATGAAAACATCTTGTAAGTGATACATATTGTTCATAGTACAGTTAGATTACAACACGAATCCACCTTCAGATACGTTTATGTCAAACAGGATCAACAAATACTTGTTGTAATTAATGGATTTTTTAAAAGTAAGTCATACATGAATTAAGTTGGCAGCTAAGCTGCTAATTTAGGTTTCCTCGAAGTTCTTTTACTGTTCCTCTTACGTCCTTTATTCTGTATCTATTAAAAATGTATCAGAACGCCCAATAATGAATCATTATATTAAATTGTTCTCTGTGACTAGAGAAAAATCTTACAACGTAAAATCTATCCATTCATTCGTAAGTAATTGGTCTTTAACTTTAACTAATGAATTCACTAATGTTATTTCACTTCTATGTATTTCAGGTGCACCAAGAAACTAAATATAAAATATTGGAATTTCCCATATAAATAGATAGATAGATATAAGCACAAACTAATTTTGCTCTAAGTAGTTGAAGTTTTGTTGGAACTAGCTTTCTTGGTAAATGAAATGTTAAGATAAGAACGTACCCTTAATTCTGTTAACATTTTTAGTGATTGCCAATTTATAATGTTCAATAGGTAGAAATTCCAAATAAGGAATAAGATATTTCAATTAACTTGTTTTAAGAAACGTTTAGAAACTGCCTTACATCTGCTTCGAATATAACCACTTAGTACATAACTTTGTATTTTCCAGGTAATTTTGTGGTTAATTCTTGCAAACATTTTATGTTCAAAGCAACAACATAATTTCTTTGTTCTTACCTGCATTGTACATTGACGAATCTCTAAAGTCATCTAAGAAAAGAAAACATAATCACGTTTTGAATATACTTTATTGCATTAGAGTATCTTTTCTGTTTGCGATTAGTCAAAGTCATTTTCTATGGTCTAATAGTTTGACATACGGCAGAACACTTTAGGAGGTAAAAATTACTTTTTTTGCCATACAATATGAAGAATAACCACAATAAGAACTGTCTGTAGGTCACAATTGCCATTCTTCTATAATATTTATAAAAAAGTAAAAATAAATCAGATGTAGAAGTGCTGAAGCTCAAAGTAACAAACAAAATTGGTAGAAATGTTAAAAACGACGAGTTTAAGTAATTTATTATGTTCATTGTAATCAATACTTTTTTATACCCATATCCTTATAAATATTATTAATGATTATTCAATATATTATTTTTCTTTGTCGTGATTATGAGACTGTTTTGGAGAATATTTTCAATTTTACGAGTCTAAATATAACGATTCAAGATCTAACATAATGAACAATTACGGAGTTCAGTAAAAATACTTCAAATATATAATATAATAAATTTGTATATGCTTCCACTAGCTTAAAGGTATATTTCAGGCTTACGATGCTAAACATTGGATTTCGATAACTGTGTTTGGCAGAGAACAGATAGTCCATTGTATAGCTTCGTATGTACCAACAATCGAACTTAAACTGCATTTAATATTCAAACTATTATAACTGATTAATGGAATCAAATTTAATGTTTCTTGATTAAATTTTACTTACATCTTTTAGTGTATGATTTTTATGCTTGATAATTTTTAAGGTTTTGTCTCGGTACATTTTATTTGTTTTCTATATTTTGGTCCATGGGAACCGTATTATAATATTATCTTACCAGTGACTAGAAACCCTAATCCACAACATGGGAGAAGCACGGCAATCAGAGTAAGTAACATCTTGGGGATGTCGTTCAAAAGAACAGTATAATTGCCAGAAATTAAAGCAGGGACTTGGCGATATTTATCACTGTGGGAAATTAAGGGATTATCGCTTTCTGGTGAGTTTCTCAAGAGTAAGAAACATCTGAAAATTCCCGATAAACTTGACTTATCTGAAACAATGACAAGTTATTCCAGAAGGCGTTGATTTAACCATTAGATCCGCTTCTTAGAAAGACATGAGCAAACTCTGTAGAAAAGAAAGAGGACTAAGGTTTCGTATTGTGGTAGTACTGCTGTGTTAGTACTGGTTATTGTCTGTATAATGATGAACTGTTTCTTCCCACACTTAGCTACAGATGCCAATACTTATCATTCCATCGCAAAGATAAAATAAATTAGACATAAATCGAAGCAAAACCGAAGCTGACGGATAAAAGAGTTTGTAATTCTGTATAATAATGGTTTGGTTTGATTCTTAATTAGATATATGGCACTCATGATCTGTTTAATTGCTTTTTATTTTCTTTATTATTTCATATTTTTCTAGTAACAAGAAACTTAAAATCAGCGAAAAAATAACCTTAGGAATTGCAACAATTCCCATTAGTTTATTCTTGAAAAGTTTTAACTCTCTTTTTTTCTCGTTACAAGTGTTCTGTTTTTTTCTGTCTTCCATCAAATAACGTTTAGTATTCATCATTCTATTAAAGAACAGTTTATCTTTTTGTTCATTATTATCAATAATCAATGTGTTTAGGTCAAACACGTTATTTGCTATTCATTTTATTGCATAATTCCATTAATATCATTTTTATGTTGCATTAATCACCACAGTTTTTAATTGTAACAAATAAACTGTTATTTGATATCTAAGTGTAGCGAAGACAAGTTATTTCTATCGACCTATTTATTAAGAGTTGATTATTATAATATTTATTGAAATACTGCTGTTGTTGCAAAGCTACATAACAGGCTATCTGTGTTTTGTCCACCACAGATTTATAGCTGACCTATAACGTATTGAAATGAACCTTACACTTCAATACATTCAGTGATAATTAAAAACGGATTCAACTTGTGACCATTGTTTATTAAGTTACTCAACACATAAAAGTTTCCAGTCTTCTCAAATCATACGAAGAAATAAAGTAAATATTATAAAAACAGCTATTAATATTTTATCATAAAAAACTGTAACATTAAAAGCAAAACATCTGTGCAGAAAATAAAATCGACAATTCCAATTAATAGACAACCCTTGCAGAAAATTTGACCTTTCTCACACTAAACACCCATGAAGCTGTCATCTTCATCTATGAAGACTTGACCCAACCAAACTGCTCAAATGCGTTTATTTTTATTAATGTTTTTACTTTCAGAATGACCTTTTCAAAATAAAACAGTATCGATCCATTAATTTTTGTTTCCTAGTAAATTCAGAAAGGATGACCAGATCATTGTCTAAAAGTTTTTTCATGTAACAGTTATCTAAAAGTTTTATAACGTATTGGAGTCAAATAAATAATCCAAAGTTGGCAAAGCAATAAATATTTTTTTTTAGTCTTAACGTAAAATGATTAATATCACATGATTTACAGACGTATTTTTCTCTCTTTTTTTTAAATTCTCTTAATTAGTCCATTACGGATTTTGTGAATATAATGCATAGAAACTGCATTTTCAATGTATCTTTGACTTTTGTAGACCCAACATAGCTGAAAATCTGCTATAGAAAAAAAATCCACCTTGCCAATAACTTGATGGTATTTTATGCTCTTCTGATTCAAATGCATAACTGATTATTTCAGAAGAATGCACTGATAATAAAACCTCTGCAGATTTATAATTAATTTTTCGGTTATAATTTTTGTTTGGTTATATTTCGTACATTATTTGTGTTGTTCCATAACTTAAGTCGCTACCACTTTATCTTACATTTAAGTACTATTGGTATTACACATACTAATGCAAGTTGCTTGTGATTTCATAGGCACAGGAAAGATCGAAACTTCAAAACTCTAATGCCAATCTTGTTCCCCCCCCCGAAAAATGAGAAACATAATTCTTTCTTTATTCATTCAGCATATGTATATGAATTTTTTATTCAATTCACAATTTCACCCTACTTTGCCTCTCCCCCTGGAAAACTTTGCCCCTCCCTGGAAAGATTTCTGGGGACGCCCATGTCCACAGCAGAGGGTATGATCAATCAAATAATGTATTAGGTCTCTACGTCACAAATTATATTTTCAATTTTACCGGTATATTCACCTAAACGATCAACGTACTAAATTTACAAGTAGCATTCTTAATGGTCTTGAAGTCTTCGTAAACGATACCTTAAAAAAGTTACCCATCTATCAATAAAGCTAGAAAATAGCAAAATTCCTACTAAGATGTTCGTAGCACTGATAAACCTTGAAACAATAAATATTGTAAGTGTACTAAAACAAAACAAAAACAATAATCAAAATAAACAATTAACAAAGTTTCTTCATTACATCGTGTATTTATCATATTTCACTTCTAAAAATGTATCACATGCTAACTAGAAGAAAGCAGACAGACGTTTTTGAAAACATTTCAAAAATACAAACAATGTTTCACTAAATTATTTTTCGTTTGGAACAATGAAAGTTCGAGTTATTAGGTGAAAGAAAAATAATTAAAATCTGGGCTATTAACTAAGTTTGTGTGTAAAACTAACTCTAATCTCACTGACCTAACAATAACCAGTCGATATGAAATTCCAGATTGTAAAGACTGAAAAGATGGTAACCACGCCATTAAAATTGTTGTCTATAAACTTTAATGGAGTATTTCTCACAAAAACATTTTTGGTGCAACCAGGGTTATTGTGAATGATGAAAGCAGGAGAGAAAATTCACCTTGAAAAAGTTTAAAAAGGGCATTATGAAATATGCATCAGAAGAACACTACATAATAATACACTCCAGTTCTTGAATGTCTGTTGTTGTTTTTTAAACATACGTGTGTTTTGAACAGAAAATATTGAACCATTTTAACTCATCGAAAACTTACATAGTCGAAAAATATTAAATCTGGGAAAACACCGTTTTTCTCTTTATTTTAACCTAAAAATGTTAACAGGTTTAGTGTTCGAACATTTTCTAATTTTTCACACTTACACGCATTAAGCCCCCCAGTGGCACAGCGGTATGTCTGCGGGCTTATAACGCTAGAAACTGGGTTTCGATACCCGTGGTGGGCAGAGTACAGATAGCCCATTGTGTAACTTTGAGCTTCAAACAAACAAACATATACACGCATTAAACTGACGTTTTGTGTTCGACGTTGCAGTCAAACTGACTGACTACATCAGTTGGAGCCTCATTCTCGCGCTAGTCACAGATTTGACTATCTAAAACACATAAAATAATGTAACATGTACATTATGAAAAACTTTAGTCAAGATAATTTTAAGCTATAATATGTTGGCGGATTTTTAACAAACTATATGTACTATTTGAAACAGCAAAGAAGAAAAAATAAACTTCTATATTGTTGTAATGATGATATTTCTTTGATTGGATTCTTTTAATTAATTTGGTGAAATAAGGCCAAATTTCCTCTTTCTGATATCTTTGTGAGGAATTGTAATTCCATATAGACCCCTGTCTGCAGTTCCTGGAAATATGTAATGTCAAGTTACACTTGAAACATTTTTGTCTTGTGGTTTATTTCCACTTTTCTTTGTGACTAGTAGTCTAATTAATTGTTAAAGTTCTTCTAGAATATCGCCTGAGAAAGTTTATGTTTCAATACTACTTAATCTGATGATTCTATAACTTCAAAAAGGTGTCTTTAGTGGTTTATCTACAACTTTAATAGCTTCTAATTCATCATCAACTACAGAGCATCCTTGAATGATGTAAAACTACTTTGCTTCTGCCTGAATCTCATATTTTATGGCATATATAAATTGTTTTGTGCGAACAAATCAATGATTTCACGCTTAGCATGCAGGTGAGATAGCTGGGCAAGCTTTCTCCGTCTTCTTTTCTCTGTACCCCATTAAGGAATTTTGCTCTGAACAGTTCCTTCTGGAGTGTAACCCTGAACCTACTGGATAAGTCAACTACCAATGTTTGATAATTTTTATGGCTTTCAGCTGAAAGGGTCATTAATGTTGTTAAAGATGATCCTTTTAAATACACCACTAAGTGAGTATCCTGTTGTTCACTATTCCAACTGTTTACTCTGAAAATTATTTCGAATGGAGCTTACTATGCCTCCAATGGTATCTTTACATCATAGTTCTTTGGTTTCTCAATTGGTTTATATTGAATTGGCTAATTAGATTCTGAAACTAGATTTGGTATTGACATGGTACAAGAAGGTTCTGCAATGACACAGCAATAGTGGATGGTGTTATCCTATTCCGTGCTTTGCAGTAGATAATGCTTTAGGTTGGAACTCTTAATCAGATGCAAAGGTGTGGCTGGTTTAATCTGTGAATTCAGTAATACATTTTCAAATGTTTTATTCAGTTAGTGATGTTTCTTTATCACACTGATGTCTTTTGCTACTTTATTGATGTTTATTTGTACTTTTTTTAATTTTGCCATTACAGGCCTTTCTGTATTTCTTCAGTCTTATTGTTGTAATCTCTCTGTAACTTTTAATAATCTCGTCAGCATTGTCTTCAATCAGATTTATTTTTGGTTTTAATTCTTCTATAAATGGAATGTATTTTTCTTTTAACTTTTCTCTTAAATTCTTGTCTCCTTCCTCTTTACTTCCTTTTAATTTTCTGCCTCTCTCTTCTTGATTGTCTTTTTAACTGTTCATTCAGTCTAATAAATCTCTGATATTGCATTGTTAAAATATCTCGAAAGTTGAAGTTTATTCAATGTTCTATTCTTTTCACCAAAATAATCCCACTTCTGATACAAATTGTTGTAACGTGTTCTTTCATTAAGTGGGTTCTTTTAAATTATTTAGTGAAAATATGGTTAAGTCCAGTTCACGTAAGAATAGCATATTTTTTTTCTTAACATTTGCTACAATCTGTTATCACTTATACGCACTTGTTGGCTTAAACTCACAAATAACATTGTTTGTTTGTTTGTAATTAAGCAAAAAAGCTACATAATGGGCTATCTGTGCTCTGCCCACCACGGGTATCAAAACCCGGATTCTAGCGTTGTAAGTCCGCAGATATACCGCTGTACCACTGGGGGCCACTTACGCAGAAATTTACTTGCTAATATAACTACAATTAATGTAAAAATAAATTTACTTTATAATTTCACGGCCAACTGACCAAATAACTGAATAAACGCAATAACTAATACTGATCTGAATACTTCACTAACTTCTCAATCACTGAAAAATTTACAAAGAATTACAAAAAACAATTACAAGAATTTAATAACACTTTTATTATTTTTTATTTTCCCATAGAAATTAACAGTAATACTCTCATTTTACACTAGATGTCACTTTTATCAAGATGGCTCCATTGCGTAAAGGACACTTACTAGCCCGAGTAAATTTTCCCCCTTATGCTATCCATAATCTGACAGAACGACATATTCTTGTCGCTGGAGGCGGAGGTGATGCAAAATGTGGTATTCCAAACACTGTAGTAAGTACTAAACAGTTGCTTGAAGTATTATTGTTATCATTTTTTAGGAGCGAGTCTTCTTTCCATTAATGCTTACGTGTATCATGATCAAATCAGGCGCAAATCGTAAGGTGGCGCTTCGGTTATTACCTTTCATGCCAGCTTTGACATGATGTAAAATATGGGAAACAGAAGAAAAGCAAGATTACAGATGATCTTTCAATCCATGTAGGTCACCCAATATTCAAAAAAAAAAAAGGATCAATTAATCCATTTGAAGTATACTATAGAGCCCATTAAATCCAGCAGTTCTTTTTAATATTTCATAGTAACAACATAGAATTTATCATTAGTTATCTGTTTAACAAGATTATTTTTCCAACCAAAATTTTTTCTATGAAAGACCATGTCTGGATCAAAACATGTTTCAGTTTGTATTTTCAACTTTTAATTCATTATTCAAACAGACATGAAACATAAGTCTATCTGTACTCCTAATTATTTTGAAAATTTGAATCAAATTTCATAATACTTTTGCACTTAAGAGAAAAAAGTCCAGAACATTACTGTATAGTTAAATGGCTTACACCAGAAATCATTGTAGTAACCTGTCTGCAATGTTACTGAAGTGTTAGTGTCCTCCCTGTAGTAAAGGGAAACAAAACTGCATAAATTGTGGAAAATGAGACCTGACCAGAACATTCTGCACTACAATAATAATCTTTTCATTGGTAAATTCAGAAGAGGATCTTAATCATAAAACTTAACTGGTGTTGTAAGTGAACATGAATACACATATATAATTTACAGTAATTAGCAATATGTTACAAGCTTATAAATTAATAATACTTTAGAGTGAATAAATGTACCATATTTTTGATTGTATGCTGTGCCCATCTTTCACTTTCAGCAAAAAAAGATGTTTAAATCTCAATACAGAAGTATTTTTTCATAATAATATTCAGAGTAGTAAAAAAGTACAAAACATTATAGCTAGTGTATGATTACTTTTCTTTTGATATTTGACAGTATGTTGTCATCCCATAAAAGTTTATATCTGTATTTACAGGAGATATACGAGTTGATCAACAATGGTTCCACATGTCGAGCAGAACCCGTGACACATTATGACACAGGCTCTCATGCTATTATGAATTGTACAGTGTTTCACAATGGTAAACATCATGTCCTAGCTGCAGGAATGGAAGAGATGTGTCAGATGTATCAGTTGACGTACAAAATATTAGGTGAAGAGAAAGATGGTTCAGGGGTAAAAGTTGGAGTCAAAGGTTAATTTCTTTGAACAAGTCTAAATTTGTTTTTAGTGATGTACATTATGTTCAAGAGAATTATTGGGATGATAGAATATTTAAGATTAATATTAAATTAATATATTTGTTATATAAAAGGTAGAAATCTATTTAGACTGTATGTCATCATTTGTTTGGAATAATGTTGCAATTTATTTATTTTTTTATCTTTCTTAATGGTATTTGCTATACAGTTCAAAAGGGCCTTTCCCAACCTAGAAAATCATGCTACTTATGACCCACTTTTAGACATTTTGTTTTAAGAAAATTTTCCATGTGTATAGATGTTTTGATCAATTTATAAGTCACAACTTTTTTTTAGGGCAATTGATGTGTTGTGCTTAATTTTTGAGTTTTTTTTCCATACTTTCTCTTCTTTTATTGCTTTTTACTATTTTTTCTATTTTCTTGAGCTGAAGAATTTAAAAACAATAACATCTAATAAGTTGGGGCACTTTGTTTTTCATGTGTTTATGTTTTTGCAATAGTAAACATCTTTTGAAGTATGTAATCAGTATATTTATTTGGGGAGTGAATTATTTACTGTTTAAACATTAACCAAGTATAAGACATTTTAAATTTTGCTTCACTGTTTAACCATTATGAAAATGTTCTTGTCAAATTACAAGTTATTTCTCATTGATAACTTCTTTTATTCAACGTATGACTTGACTTTCAGATAGTGAAATTCACTTCCCAGTTCCAGTGAAGCCTTAGCTCAAAGTTGCAATGTTTTCTTTATGAGGTTGAACTTAGGGAAGCTCTGCTTAGACCCATTTTGATGAAAATGGAGATTGATGAGCCCAATTCAGATTGTGTTCTGTAGAGTTTAGTTAATGTGGCAGTACAGGAACATTGATAAATCACTTGAAAATTGAGTATTATGTACAAACAGTGATTCTGTTTTGGTGCTATATTGAGTGCATAGCATGTGAGGCTCAGATAAACACATGTGAAGCCTTTACAAGTACTGCTAGGAAATGTGATAGAACTTAGGCTGAACAAATACTGAAATACCTCTTGTTGGTTTACAATATTGTTGTGTTATGATATAATCCATCTGTTGTTATTTTTTGTTCTTGATTTTGAGTTTACACTGTAAAAGGAAGTTTTTTTCATCCAACTCGTACTGAATAACAAGATGCAGGAAGGATACTTCTATGTTTTTTTTTATTTTAGAACCAAGGAACAAGAGACAGCTTCAACTTTATTTATATGTTTTGCTCAACAGTTATAGAGAGCCAGTATTATTAACTTATTGGTTTGTTTAGGGAAACTTTGAATGTTGATCCATCAAATGTAAATAGGTGTTCTTTATGTTAATGTGATACAGTTTGCTGTTTATAACATGTTTGATGTTTATGTACAATGGGTAGCATAAGCCAGTACTTATTAGGCACAGATTGTTTCTTTACAGTGATTAAAACAATCTCTAATCATAATCAAGCATTACTTACTATACTCACAATACTGCTATTTTTATAAATCAAGTCATTTACAAATTCATACTGCTATGTATTAATTTGTATAAAGAAAATACTTATTTATTTTGCAAATATAAGTAAAGTACTATCACTTTCTAGTGAATTGGTTTCTTGGAAAATGATCAGTTATAAAATACAATATGTTAAGGTCTGAACATGGTTTTTTACAAAAGTTTAAATGTTTAAAAAATAAAAGGTTTATCTATCACTCTTAATATTTATTACCTTTTTGTCTTAGATAAGACTCCAACACCCAACAATAAGTCAGTACGTCGTCGTCGACGGACTAATTCCTTTAGTTCAGAAAATGAAAAAGATATAAAAGAGGAAGAAAACAAACCGAAGATACAAGAAAGTACCACAGAAATGGGAGTTCCAGTTGTAGAGAAAAAAAGAAAAAAATCTGATGCTAACTCTAACTCTATCATAACTCAAGTTGGATTTGATGTAAAACCTATTCAGAGCTTTCAAACTGACTTCAATAAAAAGGAAGAACCATTTCAGAAAGTTGTGCGATTTACTTCAGTTTCTAATATTTTGGCTACTGCTGGAGCAGATGGTCATGTTAGGTTGTGGAAGGTATGTTTAGAATAATTTCATGTCATTCTTTGAAAATATTTTATTAGGCTAGAGCCAAAATCTCCATGGTTATGCATACAAAATGAGTTTTTTTAAGCCTTCCTTATATTATGCTATTTTATGTTAAGCTTTAAAACTTTTATTACTCTAATGATACACAAATGAAAGTGTAGTTAAGAGTAAGATCCTTCCATTTGTCAATCTTGTTCATCTATTAAGCATCACTTTTTTGGATGAGTGGAAGAACTAATATAATAAACTAGTGTACTACAACTTACAAGTGGGGTATTATAATTCTTTTTTACTCATTTTAGGTTTGCCTTGCTCACTGGACAGAAAGTAGCCAACAATTGTAGAGTAAATGCTAATATAATTGGAAATAGTTTGAAGTGAAAAATCATATATTTTCTTTTACTGTAATTGATATGCTACTTAATCTCTTATTTAGATCAAGTTTTGGAATGTCTTTAATCCAAAGTTGAAAGCTGGAAATATACAAAAGCAAATATGCATGTATAAAAAAATGTGTAGTTTATTAACCTTTCTCTGTTTAAACAATAAATTGCAGAAGAAAAGTTAAACAGAATTATATATATCGATTGATTGTTTCTACCCTGAAAATCACTGTCATTTTTGCTTTTTTGTTCCTGTAATATCTCTCAGGCTTTGTCTAATTACTTGTTTTGACAAACTTTGAGTATTGATCCATAAAATCTAAATTGGTGTTCTTTTTGTTTGCTTTTGATTTATAACTTGAAAGTAAACTTCTTATAAAACAAAACCATTTGTGATAAAAGTGATGTGAATTGATAATTTGATCTCACATTTTTGTCAGATGTTTTGGAATCTTTCAATAGTACATATTTCTCTGTTTCCATGAGTTCTTGAGTATTTCGAAAGTTCAATATTCAGTTGTTGCTGTGACAAACCTTGGGATATGTATCCTTTCACATACAAAAGAAAAATCTTACTGTTGCAACCATTTTCATTTAACACACAACAAATTCTACCTTTCTGCCTGGAGACATGTTGAAAGACCACTTGCAAGGCCAGGCCAGTATCATTCACAATAAATATAACAAGACAAATAATCCAAACTCTTGTAAACAAATAGTGAGATATATATATATAAAAAAATGTTAATCTTAAAATTCTAATCATTATCCAATGATATAAGTTTTTTGTTATTAAAGTTAAAAAAAAAGGTTTGTTGATAAATGGCCTTTTTTCTCTCATGAAAAACTTTAAAGACCATAAAAAAGTATAACAGCTTGAGCTTTAGTTCACCCAAATTGGAAAAAATTAACTACAAATATAAACTTAGCACTTATGTTATTTTCTTGAAGTTTTTTTTATGTGGGATACACTTGTATCTTTCACTCTTTCTCAGTTGTTACAAAGAGACACAGGATCTGTTTTGTGACTGTTTTTCCTGGCATCAGAATTCAAAAAAGTGTTTATTACAAATCTTATGTGCCTAAATTCTCATTTTAAAACACAACCAATATTTTTTATTTCTAGTATCCTGAGTTAACATTGTTGCATGATATTGAGGCTCATGGAGATGAAGTGGACAATATTGATTTCAGTCCCTCAGGCAACAAGGTAAACTCTAACTAGTAGAATTACAGAGTTTTTGTTTAAAACTTAACTGGGGCAGCTAAATATTTGTTATATGATTTGTAAATAACTGTGTCAGAAATCACAGTTATAGTATTACGTTAAAAGTTTATGGTTTTCTTAACAAATTAAAAAAAAAGAAATTGGTCTTTCACTTTGGAATTCTCCAGAACTGTATGGTAAATAAATAACCAAATACTATAAGATTGTGAAAATTAAGTTTGCAGTATTAAAAGTGAAATCGATAAGGCTAAAAATCCATAACTGATTTACTGAATAGGCAGTGTAGTTTTATTTATTTTTGAATGATTGCTGGAAGATATTTTTTATTCTACACTAAGAATAATCAAAAGATTAATACTAATATTTCATACAAAAACAACAAAAAATAGAGTACTTATCATAACTTCCACAAGATGAACAGAATATAATCAGAAATTCACAATTGGAATTTGCTTGTCCAGACTTTCACAAGTTGCAGAACTGAATTTTAAACTTCTAACTCAGCAATATAACCTCAACACAAGAAATTGCGAAAAAGAACCAAAGAGAAAAACATAACTTTGTAAATTATCACAAAATCTGATGCAACACTCAAAAGCTCTATGATTAATTATAACTCACAACACTTACAAGTTCTAACTGAGCTTCATGTGATACCCAGTCTGAAACTCTTATGTTTTTGAGTGTCTGGATTATACCTTCTATGTTCTTTTTTTATTTTATACTTTAATTTGCTACCAGGTGACAAGAGTACAAATCAATGCAGAATAATTATTGCAACTGACAAAACATCTGATCAATTTATTTATACAGAGTGACAAACTGACTTACATATGACTATAGCTACTATGACAGCATCACAAAATAACAGGCATTTTGTCTTGTTATGAGAGTAGAATGTGAGCTGACATTATGCATAAACATACTCACTAGACAGCTCAACTAAATGTCAGAGGAATTGTTTGTTTTTAAGTACAAACCAATGCAATGGCTGTCTGTGCTTTACCTGAGATGGGTATCAAAATTTGATTTTCTTTTAGTATTATATGCTCTCAGAATTACTAGTGAGTCATCAAGGATGGAACAAATAATGTAGAAAAAGATGCTTAAAATAAGAAAATTTATAATAATTATGAATAAAAGATGAAAGAATACCACTTCACCTTGGTAGAAAATGACATTTGCCATGTCAGTTAGATGTGATTGTGTCCACATACAGTGATAGTAATTATGACTTCCTTAGTTTTAAGTTACTTGCATAACTGAAGCTTGTGAAGTTAAGAATGTAACTTTTTTTATTATTATGTTTTTTTTCAAGGTGATTGATATAATGGTAAGTATTAATAGTTTGTATTTATAAGATAAAGTTCTTTTGCAGAATGATACATAACTACATTCATAACTATATCATCATTGATACTTCGAAAAAAGGTGATATGAAACGTAATTTAATCTTTAATCCATATTGACATTAAGTTTACTTTTCATTAATACTCATATTTTACACACTTTAAAATATTTAGTTCCAAATTAGTTTAAAATTAGTTCCAAATATTTCATAAACATTTTTCTACAGTACCTTCGAAGTAGACAGCATAAGAATACTTTTGTATTCATTATTGTTCTTTATGCAGTAATGTAGTAATAAGGTATGCAAGTAAACAAATTTAAAATAATTAGTTTATCTTTGATTGTGTTATATTTTTGTTACTGATAAATTCAGTACAATTGACAGTACCTGGTATAAAAATAGGCATATGTTACATGATAAACACTGAAGATGAAAAGAAATGACTAAAATCGCTCTGAAGAAAAGCAAATTATGTGGTTGTCAATATTTTGCAGCTTGACTTTCGCTGGGACTGATGAAAGGTCAACTACATAAATATTTATTCCTAACAACATTTTATACTTTTTTTTTGTATTTAAAAATGTCTGAGGTATATAACTAAGACCTTTATTGATTTAATAAAAAGAATTTGATGTATTTTACTTTCTGGTTATTTTCCAATACAATTTAATTTTCTTATCTCTTTCAAGTTTTATTACAGTTTATATAAAATATGCTTTTGAATCCTGTATTTAGTTGAGTACTGTTATTTTCCAGCAACATACCATTACTGGAATGTATTTTAATGTGGTTAACGAATATGTGCAGCCAGCATCAAAACATTTTTTTGTAGACTTTATGGCAATGATATTTATTTGGTTACTAGCTTAATTTCAAAATAGTGAATTTTTGCATGATAGATTTATTTGTAGAAATTGTATTTTACAAGATAAAAAAATTAAATATGTATATGTATAATGTATTCATGGAATCATTAGAGATTTAATGACAAAAAGTGCAGTTCAGTTACATGTGTGTACATCTGAGCTTATTTTAGATTGTCAGCATATCTCGTGATGGCCATGGTTTTGTTTGGAATGTTAAGGATGGCACCAAGCATTGTGAGCTGAAGTTTTTGTTGCCAAAGAAAGGTGATGACAAGTACATTTTTCGTTCTTGTAGGTATGTTAGGCTATTTAATATCCTCTGTAAGGAAAATTATTTACATAAATTTAACTTGTGAGCATTGAAGAAATTGATAATATTATAAACTTTGTAAACTTGTGATTTTTAAAAAAATACAATGAACTACAGTCATAAAATTAGTTTTCTGACACAATTACCACTTACTGAACTTTTCCTGAAAATTTTGTGTAATTTTATTGTAGTATCTTCTAAGTTAAATTACAAAATCTTCCTTTAATATTCAATCATTATTTCACCATCAGGTACCAGATGCTAATTCTAAGAAACCATGAGTGAAAGCAAAGGAAAATATATGCTCATGTTATATGCTCATGTATGTTGGATTTATGACTACCCAGTATATTCAAACACAAAATATGTTAAAGAAATATTGTGAAAATTATTAGTTCACTGTTGTTGCTAAACTATCATGTAATATTTCAACACGTTTTACCAGCACTGGGCAGATACAAGTCATCAATTGACAATTACTTTAAAAGCATGCATATAAGGTCAAACTTGTGCTAAAATCAGTAAACACCAGTTGAAGTAGGAAAAATTGCAAATGTATGTAAGAAGTAACTGACGTCTAACTTTCATTGCTTGGAGAGCTTGTCAAGGAATATAAATCCATCTCTAAATATCTCAAAACCTTTAATTATTTTACAAAATTTATACCTGTAGGAATTGCAGTCTTATGTTAATATTGTGTTATTTATAAGTTGCTAGAACAATTACTCACAAGATATTAAACTAAGAAACCTACATACATGTAGAAATTTTAAGGCATTAAATGTTTAGTGATATAAAGATTTTTTTATTTTGAATTTCATGTTAAAAATAAACAACATTTCTTTAAGTAATCCTTGCAGAAATGTGTTAGTTTAGAAAAATAAGAAAGCCTACTGGGTGAGAAATTCAATAAAGAGCATAATAGGCCATATGTAATAATACCAATAATTAGTCTGGTGTGACTTGTATTTATTTGATCAAATAAGTCACACAGTAAGATAAGGAAACTTATGTTGGTTGTAGTATTGAAAATATTAATTTCATATAGAAAAAATAATTGTGTCCAGTGCTCAATCACTATTTATTTAATACCTTTGCCTTAAATTTTGCTTCTCACTAGTATACAGTATGTCTATTAGACACCTTGTTGAAATACGTTATTTCCAAGATGATAACTCACCTCTTAACACAATTGAGCTACCTTCCTCGCACGTCTGTAAGAGAGACTTGGATGCCACGAGCCTAAAGACAGCTCCCACCTAACTTGAAGTGGTTTAACATGAATTATGCTGATGTATGATGATGCCATAATATGACAAAAGCCCTCCATCATTAGGATGATGACACATCTCCATGTGTAATAACTCCCACCTATGCACATGTGCTCATGGTAACTTAATTTTTCTCCTTGGTATTGTATTGTACAGATGTGTTTAAATTTCTCATCTGAGATAAATTGTTTGAGGTGTGCATAGTTACTGAAACTTTGATTTTCATTTTGTTTGGCTTTTGTTTCAAAAGCTTTAATTTTAATTGGGAAATCTCAAATGAAGTGATTTATACTTCATCCTGAGTGATGATTGTCACAGTTAGGCCTTATTTCTACTATGGCTTTTGGAGGCTCGTTATCTGTCAGGGTTGTTGCAACCATTGTTCAACTTGTTGTGGATTACTATATGCTTAATGGCCCTCCTACACTCATTCCACCAGTCAAATTTCTTTGTCCTTCTTCAGGAATGATCTATTGAACTATGAACTTAACCTGATTTCTTGAAACAACCTTAAACTTTCAATTTCTATTTGGATTTCATTTTCAGGTGTGTTTCTTTTCTTTTCTTTTTCTTGTCTTTTTTTTTTATGATTTCTTATTTTTTACTCCATGATTCATAATTCTTGGAATTTACCTTGTCTTTTCTCTTGGCTTGTTTTTAGGATTTATACTGTTTCCTTTGTTTAGTAGCTCCTTTCTTATGTCTGTATGTCTCTTCCCCCTTGTGTTCATGACTCCTTTTGTCCTGACTTCTAGACTTTCTTCCTTTCCTTTTCTCGTTTCCCTATCATTGGTATCTGACTGGCTATCTTGGGGATTTGGCCCCTTACTTTCCGTTTCACTTTCTGATTCCCAATTTTTGGCATTTTCGTCTTTTTTTCACTCTACCCTTCAATATTCCCTCTCCTAACTCCACCTTTTATCTTAGGTAATTCTTCATGCTTCACATGTGTTTCTGTAGACATTTGTTCCCTTCTTTTTGCTTCCTTGGCCTGTTCCACTTCTCCTTCTTTATTTCTCTGTACTTTGTTCTCCTGCTGTTGAGACTCATTGGGTTGGGTGATGTTCCTCTTTACTGTACTCCTTCTTTCTTCCTGTGTACTTATTATTCATGTGGCTCCCTTTCATTGCCTGGATGTCTTCAGTTGTGTTCTTTTCTCCGTGGTGATCTGGACTGGTGTTGTACACCTTCTGTCTTCATTATATTTTTAGGTTTTTTCCTCTTTGTCGACCTTGCCCTTTACTCCTATTCCTCATTTAGATCAATCTCCTCCTAACCTTCCCATTCCAGATTCCAAGCCTTCCTCATTTTTCTCATCTTCCCTCTACTAGAAGTTTAGGTTATCACTTTTTTTGTCAGTGAATATCACACATGTATGAATCTATGGGTACCCATCTCTTCTGCTGCTGTTGGTTTCATTTTCTGCTAACAGTCATTTTTAATTTCTCCACCTTGGTCATTTTCTTCCCTCCTCTTCTCATTTCTTTTCCCATTTCCTTTTCTCCTCCCTCTGACCTCACTTATGGTCTTTTTCACCTCGTCTGTAGCTGGCCATGGTCGAAGATTTGGACACTTTCCTGCATGTTTTTCTTGTCCTGACCTACATTTGTTTTCTATGTTTCATCCATTTTTTTTTATCTTTCCAGTCCTTGCTCTTCCATTTGATTCAATGTCAGCACTTTTTGTATTTATTGGAATTGTGATGCATTTGACACTCTTCTCAAATCTGAATTTCCTTTCTTATGGTCCCCTATTCCCTTGGTCGAGACAAAAGCTCCGATGGGTGTATTCCTATGAAGCCACTGCCATTGAATGTCACACTTCATGGGCTTCCCTTTGGAAACTTTCTGAAGGGAGCTCATCAAGATGAAATTTGCACTGGTTTTTCCACCAATTCAATGTGAGATCTAAGCTAAATCATGTGTGGAGATGAGTAATAATCTTGGAAGTGAAAATTTTTTTAAACCTGATAATGTGTTTCTAATAGATACTCACCTTTCACACATTCCCATCTATCTTCCCCACTGCCGGTGCACCTTTTTCTCTTGCCTTGTTAAAGAATGAAGTTTCCATGAGAGCAAGTGCATAGGGGGAGTTATTGCATATGAAGGTGTGTCACCCTCCTATTGGTGGAGGGCTTTTGTCACATGATTATGTTATTATACACCAGTGCAATTCACATTAAATTGGGTTGAAGTTGCCTCAAGGTTAATGACACGCAAATCTCTCTGACATATGTGCAAGGAAGATGGCTAAGCTGTGTGTAGAGGTGAGTATCTATCAGAAATATATTTTTAGGTAAGGAAAATGTTAGCATTTATTAGGCACTTTGTTGAAATCAGCATATTTATTAAACACTTTGCTGAAACTTAGCATGTTTTTGAACATCTTGTTGAAACACAGCTTGTTTATTAGATACCTGTTGAAAAACATAAGTTTGTATAAAAAAAGTGAAGAAATGTCAACAAAAACACTACCACTAATTTTGTCATTTAATTTCAGTTCATTATTATATACAGGTGTAAATAAAATTGCATTTCTATACATTGAAATAAACCAAGCTTCTCAAAGTACAAAATCTTCAGGTTATATCTTTTATTCAACATAAACAAATTTTTTTTTGTATCAAAGAAAGCTGATTTCTGTCTTTTCACATTTAGAACGAACAATAAATAAGATATTCCATTTTGGCATGTTACATTTAAGACTGGATGATGATAGAAAGAAAAGTTATTATGAATGTTTGATGTTTATGCAGTACAAGAATTTTATAAAGCTACTTTTTGAATACCAAAATCTAGCATTTAAATTTTATCTCCAATTTCAATTGCTCATTAGAAGGTATAAATTTAGAGTTCACCTGTAAAATTTGATCGTACAATAATGTTAAAATGATTATTTATTGAATATTTTGTAAAATATTATTTTGCTTTGTATTAGACTATTTTAATTAGAAATTCTGGGGATGATAAAGTGTTGAAAGCAAATTAATGCTTTTCATAAATAAAATTCTTAACATGGCTTGATCTGACTTACTAAAAATGTCTGTTAAAGTGAACAAGATGAGTTTCTTTTGAAGTGGAGTCTACTAAAGACCTTGATAAAAGCAAGTTGATTATACAAATTGTAGATAAATAAATAAAAAGTGAAATATTTTTTTAAAGATTAAAAAATCAAATATAAGTGCAAACTAAATTTTTAAATGTATTGTATATTTTGAGGATAATGTTTTCGCTACAAAAATGCATTTTTTTTATACATAATTAAACATTTTAAATTATATTTATATTCTTTTATTTTTAATATTTCATGTATTGCAACTCTGGTATAAAACTTAATAAATTATTTTCTAAATTCTCCATTACTGCATTTTGTTCAGTTTTGAGTGAAATGTAAGTTTATACATCAAGATTGACTAAAAGTGATGTTAGTTGATAACATTTTGCATTTTTATGGAACTAACAACTATTTGCAGTGAGAATTTTAATGTTGCATCTTTGTTCATAAGCATTCAGAAATTATTTTAAAATTTCTAGAATTAAAAATGAATTATACATGTAATACGTTTCTTCTTTTGCTCTTCACAATAATGTGTCACAACTTTCTTGTGCTATTTTAGTATCATTCATGATGGAAGTAAACTAGGTACAGTTAGTACTGCTAGTTTTAAATAAGGAAGCTTTATTAGTTATAAATATTTTGGTAAATATTTCAGATATGGAATTGTGGAAGGAGATAAATCAAACTTTAAGTTATTTACTATTGTAAATCCTGCTGTGAGAAAAAAGACACCACTTCCTTGTTATTTATTTAAATGGAATGCCACCAAATATGTTGTAGAAAAGATGGTTTCAACTGGTACGGACATGCTTTCAGTGATGACTGTAAGGTTAGTGTTTATACATCTTATATTTTTTAATTCACACATTCTTTAAAAGTTGATAATTAGCTTTGGTAATGCAACATATATCTCTGTAGCTGTTTATTAAAGAAAAAATTGTTACTAACAAAATATCACCATAAACCCGGTATGACACTATGTATAGCAAGGCTTTGCCAACTCTATTAACGCATGTTTGGCAAACTATGATTCCTTTTAAGAGAACAAGTGTAATGAACTATTACAATAAGATCTGGAAGTAATGTAAACTATTCTTCTAAAGTTTGATTTGGGAACATTAGGAATGAATTACTTAAAAGTATTTGCAGTCTTTCTGCATTAATAGATTATATCCTTTACCCATGAAATATATATATATATATATTTACTAGCTTTGGTCCATATACACCATAGAACTTAATGTATTATAAATAACTGATATAAATGGCATTAAGTTGGCTATTGTAATTAAACCAGCCTAATAAGCTTAAGTATGAAGCTAAAAGATTTTTGGCCCAGGATGGCCAGGTGGTTAGGGCGCTCAACTCGCAATCTGCAGGTCGCAGGTTCGAATCCCCATCACATCAAACATGTTCGCCCTTTCAGCCGTGGGGGCATTATAATGTGGTGGTAAAAGAGTAGCCCAAGAGTTGGTGGTGGGTGGTGATGACTAGCTGCCTTCCCTCTAGTCTTACACTGCTAAATTAGGGATGGCTAGCGCAGATAGCCCTCGTGTAGCTTTACGCAAAATTCAAAACAAACAAACAAACTAAGAGATTTTTAACAGAGGTCAACAACAAAGTTAAGTCGAAATTTTATTGCATACATTATTATTGTTATTATTTTTACTTTATACATATTTTACCACTTAAAAAAGTGTTTAAATGTACTTTGGTTTGATATACTTTTATTTCATTTTTAAACTTGACAGATGTTTATATATAAAATTATATTATTATAGCAAAAATAAATAATTTCAACTTATTTTTAAAATTTAAAACTTGATTCAATGTCAAAAAACAAGGGTCGAAAAGATGGGAATTTTGACTAAAAAAATGTTTATTGTGGAAGTTGTTTCACTTGTTATACCCTGTGTATCTACCAATGAAATTGCAACTTGCTTAGTAAAACCAATTGCATGGCTACACATTAGAAATTACATTATCCAATGAATTAATAAGGCTTTTTAGTATTACTTATTGAGTGGTTTATAAAGCTCAACCTGAAGTAATGTAAGCAAACAAGACATCATTTAGTTATACCAGAGTAATAGAGATATGTTGTATGTCATGTGAAATCTAAGCATAAAGGAGGAAAGTGCTTATCAGACCCACATATAATGGAGACCTAAGAAACTACCTTCAGAGAAAACATCTGTCCAAGGTACTGTCACTGTATGTGCCATCAACATTACTGTTATTCAGAATTTTAAATCTTCTAAATGAAACTGATACTGATGCACCTACTCCATATCTTTCTACTGGTGCATTATTGAGAAATTGAGATTGCATATGTCCTGAGCATTTAAAACTGAATGTCAGGTTAATCGGCTACAGTCATTCCAAATGTGTTATGTACCGAAAACCTACTCAGCTGAATGTTGTATTGCTTGAAGCACGAATCCAATTATTTATTGTGCATGATATTGTCACCCATGCTTGAACTAAGTGCTGCAAAAGTTATGTGGACAGAAGACAGCTTGTTTCTGACTCATAGCAGGTTATATATGCAAACGTGGAACACCATACTAACTGTAACAGAATGGATGGGATTTTTCTTTAAGAGAAACTACATATAGCATGAGAAAAAAATCTGATGGAATAGAATTTGATATGTTTTGCAAGCTAACTGATTGTGAATACTTTATTCTGACTAGACTTACAAAGCATTAGATTAAAGACTAGAATTCCATGTTTAACTATTTAACATACGTGCAAACCAATTTGCAGGCTTTCCTTGTTAAACACCATACTAGGTTTTCCAACAAAATTCTGTCTACAAAATCCTGGCTTTGGAAAATACTTTTTCTGTGAAGTGAGCAATACATTTGGACTGTTCTGCTTCAGTGAGCTATCTTGTTCCTCTATATCTTAAATTTAGACATAACAAAATGTGATATCTAATTATACCTATCTCCTTGCATTGTGATTTTTTGTAGAAAAGAACAAACACATAACTTGTTCAAACACCAATGCAATTTTTCTCTGATGGGTATGTTATATTAGTCCTTACAAGTGAAATATTGGTGCAGGACATATTCTATGATGATTCTAAAAAATGTTTGTATTTGGATATAACCACATTACATGGCTGTTTAAGTGGAGGAGTAAAGGTGCACTGGATCTCTTTTACAAATTGACCAGATGCAATTTGTTCTGCAACAGGGGGTGTAATAGCATGTTACAGAGAAATCTGATTTCTTAAAGTTGTCACATGTGTGTGTTGTGTGGAGGTAACAGTAAGATGGTTTTGTAAAACAGTGAATGCTACTTGACATTGCATTTACCAACCTGCAGGTCTCTTTTGCTGGGATTTATGTTCTTAAAAAGAAAAAGACAGAAACTGATCCTGTTGTTGCACAATAAATGCTTAAACTGATAAAACAGCTTAACATATTCCAGGTTTAGCACAAAAGGAGTCATTGTAAAAAAAGATTGAAGCAGGTGATTCAGCTTTGCACTTTCTGCTCCCATATGTGAAGATTTCAGGATGCTATGACAATCATCAAGCAATCACTGAAGGTGAAATTTGAATGCTTAACATACACTTTGTGAAATGCAACATTTTTGAGGGTGAGCTATAGGACAATATTAAAAGCAATTTTATGGCTATTTTTGTGATTTTCGACATTTGTGGGATTAGGTGGATGTAATATATGTAAATAAAGAAATTCAAAGAGAGAACAAAATTCCTATATTACATACAGTTCCTTGTACTTATTGTATTTTATATTTGCAATTAATATTCTGTGCCTGGGTACTTTCTCACACTGTAGTCTAAAATATACCAATAGTAAAATACCTGAAAAGTGAGGGGTACATAGTAAGTTTTATTTTTGTGTAACTATAGCTAATTCCACAAATAAATATACAGTAGGCTTCTCAACAGAATGCAGAATAACAACCATCATAAAAGTTACTAAGTCATCCAGACCACATTTATTTGTATAGCATATTTTGATTACCACATTTCAAGAAATTCACATAAAAATGAAATACCATTTAAATCCATTTGTAGATATCAGTTCTTCTACATGACAGGCTAAAATTACTATTGACTTAAACTTAATGAAACAAAGTTAGGCCATTTGCTTGAATATAAAATATGCTAATGTTCACAAACAATAAGTCTTGATGTAAGATGTGCTTTTTAGTGAAAGATGGCAGCTCTTCCCGTGTAGAGGAATTGTTTGTGATGATAAAGGGTACTTTTTATTTTTTTATTTATGTAGCACATAATTTCATACATACACCTCAAAAGTTTTTACCTAAATATATCCCTACTCTATATTTGAGAAAAATTTAATGTCAGGTTACAGAAGTTGAACCTTTTTTTGTGCCTATGTTTTGTCATGGATTTTTTTTGTCAGATTATGGAAAATGAATAATGTGGATTTTATGAAATGAAAGCACACAATAACTGGTTGAAAACTACAGTTTTAACCAGTACCAGTAACTTACAAGCCTAGTTAGATTGATGATAGAGATTGTCACCCAGGAGAGTTGTGTGTGTTGAAATGGCCTTTATACTTGTTTGTTCTGAAGCTGTTCAGGTCTTTAGCTACACACACACAATATATATATATATATAAACAACTGTAAGGTTTTCTTTGTACAATAAGTTTTATCAATTGGCTAATAATTAATTAAACATCTCCACAAGTAAATTATACAAATAAATAAGTATCATAATTTACACAGCTGTTAATGATAAGTATACTAAAAGTAGTAAATTATAATTTTATTTTATTTTCAGTGATGATGGAAGATTTGTTGGTTTGGGCACACTCTCAGGAAGTGTGGATATCTACATCTCATTCAGTCTAATGGTAGGAGTGTCACTGTTTATACAAACTTAACGTTTATATTGACTTAATTTCTCTCATTAATATATGATTTTACACAATTCAAAACAGAGATCAGAAATAAAGTACCAGAACGAGATATTGTTTTCCAACTGCTTTAAAGGAGGTCAAAGGTCAGAAATGTAAACCTTTCTCTTTTGTTTTTGGTAGGTCAATAGGTAGTGGTCAGATGCCTGAGGATTGGAGAATTACTAAAATTAAGCTTGTGTTTAGAAAGATTACAGTGTAAGAGTTACTCTGGAAATTATAGGGTCTAATAAAATAAACTTTGCAATATGATTTGGTGAAATATTTTATCATAAATGAAGTTCATGTGGATTCACAGAAGAGAAATCTGTTAGTAATCTGATAACTTTTTTATGAGGATGTTACATGTTACCTGGACAATAGAAAGGGTCTAAGCTCTGTGTGTGTTTAGATTTTGAAAAAGCATTTGATAAAGTGCCATGCAAAATATTAGCCAAGAAAATCAGAATGATGAATGTTGAGGAAAGACTAAGAAATTGGACTGTAGAATAGTTGGATGAGCAAAAGCAAAATAATATTAATGGAATGCAGTCAATCTTAACCTTTGTTATTAGTTAATCCTATCGAGATGGGTAGCTACTATTTTATGAATGTACGTCAATAAACTTGATATTAAATTGTAGATTCTAATTCCAATTTTATTTTATACATTAGTTAATTTCTTAATTTCAAAGTAAATATAAAAATAACAACTAAATATCGATTTTTTGTGTGTCACAGTGGTACATCATCATTTGGGTTTGGTGAGATTACATTTTATGATGCCCACAATACAATGTCTATAGTTTCATATGAATTATAAACTCAAATTTCTGATATTGGCAAGCTAGAATATAAAATAAGAACCTTCTACCTTTTCTATATGTTGAAATATCATAATATTTATCGAGTACACCATATTTGCTCCATCCACCACTTCATCATTTGAGAAGACTTGTACCTATAAGTTTATAACCAATTGAAAGCTCTACATTTCTTCTACATAATTCTGTTAGTCTAAGTTATTTAGGAGTGAAAAGCTCTTGTATCATTGGAGAGTTTGAAGTATTATGATCAATGCTATTTTCCGAACAAAAATTAGATTTTTTTAGACCCAAATACAACATAGTTAGAAAGCCTGGTAAATTACAATAGATTTTTGTGGTATTAGTTTAGTCATTTTGAGTTTTTTGGTATGCAAAAATGCATATATAAAGTATAAAATAATTGTTTTTTCTACATCCACATGTAAATTTAGATAAGGCTTACAACGAGGGTTAGCAAGTACGACTCGCGAGTGCAAAAAAAAAACTTCAAAACATCGTAAGTAGTGGAGAGCATTGTTTTCTGAATATTTTTTATTTGCTGTTCTGTGTTTTAAGAAAAATAAATTAAATTTAATTATTTATTTGTAAATAGTAATAATATATTTATGCATATGTAATGTATGGTAACTTAAACCTCACTGTACCTTGCAAAATATTGGAAACTACGCATTTATTGGTAAGCATGGTAAAATAGGAAATAGGATGATCATAAGCATTTTCACACCTATCCATTAAATCCTTGCCACCCTAGTTTATTGGATCAGATACAACTTTGTACAGAGCCTTATCATAAATATTTTCTCTTACTTTTTTATCATATTTTAGATTTTTGTAATAACTACTGTACTGTGTAAACAAGCCGATAAATCCTACCCCACTGTATTTTCAGAGCCGGGATTTGAATAGGCTCTGTAGGAAATGTCTGCTTATCGACCAGCATTCAAATACATACTAAGTTTATTGGATCACCCCAGGATTTCTACAAAGCATAGCATAAGCATTTTATAATACTTTAGACAATTCTTATTGTAACCATTATACAGTCAACAAGTTGATAAATCCTACCCAACTGTGTTTTCAAAGCAAAGAAAATTTTGGGAATTGTGCTGAAAGTTTATTTGATACTGACAGTGTCAAAGTACTCAGAGTCTAGTAACACCTAAACAGGAACAGTGATTCAATGTTTTATCTTTGAAGGTTTCAACTTCAGCCACTAACAGTAGAATAAACATAGGAAATAGGTGTAAAAAGATTAGAAGAAACTCTCAGGTATTTACTTTGGAACTTTGTTGTCCATACTGAAAAGGACAGGCAATACTATTCATTTTGTTTTTTCTAGTTTCTAAGCCATCTGCCAGCAATAAAATAACTACAGAAAATAAACGTGAAAAGGTCAGAAACGTAAACTCTGACCATAAATACTTTGAAATTTTGTGATCAATAGTATACATTTTATTTTGCATTTGCAACCTTTATTTTCATTATACTTTGATTACTTATCTACAACCTGGAGAATAGAGTATAATGTTACAGTAAAGAAAATAACAGATAGATTATAAAGCTTTACTGAAAATAAAAATGTTTGATATTTAATTATGAGGTTTTTTATTTTTCATTTGATTTCACTATTTATTATTATAAAAGTAACTAAAACGTAAAAAATAGAAACTTATTAGGTAAGATAATGAAAGAAAAATAATAAAAATCTTCATTGGGTATACACGCCAGCAGCTTGTGCATTATTCTATTCGATACTGTAATGTGAGCTGCACGTGCAATGTGTAATTTTCAGTTTGTGTCGGTATTTTTTAGTCATGCACAGTTCAAAGGTCAATAAAACAAATATAAATAAATGTATACTGTTATGAGATATAAGCTATTTAGAATAAACATTTGTGGTGTCCTGTTACAATTTACAGTTAATCCAAAACCAAAAAAAAGGTAATTTAGATTTATTTCCTTATTTTTATGATGGTTACAAGGTCAGTCAAATCAATCAACACCGTATAGAGTTAGCATTGATAAGATAATGGATTAAATATAAATTTTTATTCAAAAACTTTTGATGATTGCCTAGAAGGATATAGAGATTACACAAATGAAACTTGGCAATTTTCAGAAAAACAAAAGTATTTTTAATCCTAAAATCAAAATTACTTTGCAAGTTGGATAGTCAACGTTCTGAAAGAAAAAAACATTCATGAGCAAGTCTTTAATAAAAAAAATCTTAGTACTTAATTTAAAAATCTGGTATTTTGTATATGAAAGCTTTGTAATGTTTACTATTAATCTGCAAAATTTTGTAAAGATATGCTTACATTATCAAAAATTGTAGTATGATTACTCTCATGGATACTTTTGTGGTTATGAGCTGGGTGGATGTCACCCAGCCCATATTCATAGGTTTAAGTAGATCAGGGGTCAGACTTTGGTCTTTTTCTTCTACTGATGTGCATTAATAATTATTTATAATGGCATAGTTAATAAATCAGTAGTTTTGCTGATGACATTAAATCCTTGAGTATTTCTAGCTGTATTGAGGATGTTGAGATTCTATAGAATGATTTTGATCAATTGGTTAGTCGGACAAATATTTAGCAAATGATCTAAATTTAGTTGTACTAAGTGAAAGATAATTCATTAGGGTTATCAAAATTTGTATCACATGGGCATGGTGATGGATAAATCACTCAAGTTATCGAGTCAGTGCTAATAGAATCTTAGGTGTATTTATAAACATATTGATTACACGTTGATAGAGGTAATTATCACTTTAAACAATTCACTAATTAGGCCTTTCTTGGAATACTGTTTACAGTTTTGGATTCCTTATTTAAGAAAAAATACTGACTTATTGGAAAAGGTTCACATTAGGGTTGCTTGGATGATTCTGGGGATGGGTTATCATATGAAGATAAGTTAAAATAAGATGGTGAAGATAACAAACAACTTCAGACGAATGTTTATTTATTCTACCCGGCTTTAGATGAATATTTATCTAAATTTGTTTGTCATCTTCATTGAAAATGGTTTCCATTCTTCAGTCAGCATTGAAAGTTTTAAAAAATGATAATAAGTTAAAATCTTTTTAACTTATCTCTTGAGAAAAAAAAAATGGAAGAGGTGATTTTCTTGAAATTGACAAGATTATCTAGAGGGTTGATAGGATAAATGCCTTTGACTTCTTTGTGCAGTATTCTAAGTACAATAGGACAAGAGGATAAAAGTTTAATATTTGGAAAAGGTGGGATAAACTCCGTTTAAGAAAGTTTTACTTTTCTAACAGCTGATTGGATTACAGAGTGTGTTACCTTTGGTAATAGTGGAAGCTGGTACTTTACTGAAGAATTTTTACTTTTGCTTAAGGTTGTTTATGAATGGACTGTCTTGAAGGACCAAATGACCTATTATTGTACTTATGTTATTACAAGATACTGAATTTTGTATCAGAATACATGTATTTTAACAATTGAGTATGTTTTGTTTGGGAAATTCCAGCTGGTTTTTGAGAGTCTTTTGATAAAGCTTTCCTGGCTTGAAATAGTTTTGAAAATAAAATTATCATAATCTAGAGTTGTTACTCTTGGTACATGTCCTGAACTAAAATTAGACCTTGTTCTTCTATAATTTTTTAGTGTCTCATTCTACTGACAGAAATTGTGTGGCAGTTTGTGTGAAAAACCAATATAGCACTTGTATAGCAAAATCTAGATAACATTTTCTCTAGGCTTTCATATTGTTTACACATGTTTGATTATGATAACTAAGATTTTCAGCCTTAAAAAATGAAACATATATATTTAAGTCTGGTTGAAGTATTTTTTAAAATAATCATTGATCTGAAGTTCTGAATTCACTTTCTCTTCAAATGTGAATTTAATATATTCATGAGATAATCCAAAGGTAGCCTAACATGTGACTACTCTTTGAAGATTAAGTATCCTGAACACATCTTTTGTATATCAGAAGTCTGTATTAATTCAGACAATTTTCTCACCAAGTATATTATTTTTCAAATAGGAACAAGTTAGCAAAACTAGGAGCTGATCTTGATGTCATTGTAAATTCACCAATCTGACTATAAAATTCAATACTGAATATGAAATTTGACTGTTTGGTAGCGAACTCAAG